TGGGAATCTAGGAAAATTGGAAATTGTCAAAAATGAAATGGAATGCATAAACATCAATATCTTAGGCACTAGTGAGCTGAAATAATCTGGTATTGGCCATTCTGAACTATGCCAGGAATGACAAATTGAAGAGGAATGGTGTTGCGTTCATCGTCAAAAAGAACATATCAAGATCTCTCATGAGGCACAATACTGTCTGTGATAGGATAATATACATGCACCTAGAGAGAAACCCAGTTAATACCACTATTATTTTAATGTATGCTAGAACCACTAAAGCAAGTGAGAAAGAAATAGAAGAATTCTACCAATTTCTTCAATCTGAAATTGATCAAACATGCAAAGAAGTTATATTGATAATCACTGGTGATTGGAATGCAAAGGTTGGAAACAATACTGTCTTGGTTATAGAAATTATGCTGGAGATCACATGATAGAATTCTGCAAAACCAATGATTTGTTCATTTCAAAAACCTTTTTTAAACAGCATAAGAGATGACTATACACATGGACCTCACCAGATGGAATACATAGAAATCCAATTGACTATACCTGTGGAAAAATACAGTGGAAAAGCTCCATATCATCAGCCAAAACAAGGCCAGAGGCTGACTGTGGAACAGACCATCAATTGCTCATAAACAAATTCAGATTGAAGCTGAAGAAAATGAAAACAAGTCCATGGGAGCCAAAATATGGTCTTGAATATATCCCAACTGAATCTAGAGATCATCTGAAGAACAGATTTGATACATTAGACACTAAAGACCAAAGACCAAAAGAGTTGTGGGATGACATCAAGAACATCATACAGGAAGAAAGCAAAAAAGTCATTAGAAAGACACGAAAGAAGGAAAAAAATCAAAATGTATGTAAGAAGAGACACTGAAACTTGTTTTCCAGCATAGAGATGCTAAAACAAATGCAAAAAGTGAGGAGGTACAAGAGCTGAACAGAAAATTTCAAAGGTCAGCTTGAGAAGACAAAGTCAAATATTACAACAAAATGTGCCAAGATCTGTAGTCAGAGAGTTAAAAGGGAAGAATATGCTCAGCATCTCTCATGTTGAGGGAACTGAAGTAAAAATTCAAGCCTGACTTTCATTACTCTAGAATTTTTGGGTAAATTATTGAATGATTCAGAAAGCATCAAATGAAGATGGAAGGAATGCACAGAGTCATTATTCCAAAAGGAAATGGTTAATGTTCAACCATTTAAAGAGGTAGCATATGATCAAGAGACAATGATCCTGAAGGAAGAAGTCCAAGATGCATTGAAGTCATTGGCATTAACAAGGCACTGGGAATTGATGGACTACAAATTGAAATATTTCAAAAAACTGAAATGGCACTTGAAAGCAGTCACTTATCTATGCCAAGAAATCTCGAAGACTTATTGGAAAAGAACCATATTTGTGCCCATTCCAAAGAGAGATGACCCAACAGGATGCAGAAATCATTGGACAATATCTTTGATATCCCATGCGAGCAAAGTTTTACTAAAGGTAATACAGAAATGGATGCAACCATACATTGATAGAGAACTTCCAGAAGTTCAAGCTGGATTCAGAAGAGGCCGTGGAATGAGGGATATCATTGCTGATGTCAGATGGACCTTTGCTAAAAGCAGAGAATACCAGAAAGACGTTTACCTGTGTTTATTGACTATGCAAAGGCTTTCTATTGTGTGGATCATGACAAACTATGGACAACATTGCGAAGTATGAGAATTCCAGAACACTTAATTGTGCTCATGAGGAACCTATACATAGACCAAGAGGCAATTGTTCAAACAGAACATGGGAACACTGAATGTTTTAAAATTAAGAAAGGTGTGCGACAGGGTTGTATTCTTTTACCAGACTTATCCAACCTGTATGCTGAGCAAATAATATGAGAAGCTGGGTTATATGAAGAAAAACATGGCATAAGGATTGGATGAAGACTCATTAACAACCTGTGATATGCAAATGGAACAACTTTGTTTGCTAAAAGTTAAGAAGACTTAACTGATGAAAATCAAAGACCATAGCCTTTGGTATGGATTGCATCTCAATGTAAAGAAAACAAAAATCCTTATTACTGAACCAATAAACAACATTCTTATCAATGGAGAAAAGATTGAAGTTGTCAAAGACTTCATTTTTCTTGTATCAACCATCAACACTCATGGAAGCAGCAGTCAAGAAATCAAACAATGTACTGCATTAGGCAAATTTGCTGCACAAGACCTTTATAACGTGTTGAAAAGTAAAGGTGTCAGCTTGAGGACTAAGGTATACCTAACCCAAGCCATGGTATTTTTAGTAACCTCATACACATGTGAAAGTTGGACAGTGAATAAGGAAGCTCATAGAAAAATTGATGCATTTGAGTTATGGTGTTGGAGGAAAATATTGAAAGTATAATGGGCTGCCAAAAGAACATACAGATCTGTGTTGGAAGAAGTGCAGCCAGAGTCTTCCTTGGAGGCCAGGATGGCCAAACTTCATCTTTAGTACTTCATACATATTGTCAGGATGGACCAGTCACTGAAAAGGGATACCGTGTTTGGTAAGGTGGAGGGTCAGAGAAAAAGAGGAAGACCCCCAGTGAGATGGATTGGCAAAGTGGCAGCATCAACGGGCCCAAGCATGGCAACAATTGTGAGGTTGTGAGTCTGGTAAAGGACTGGGCGGTGATTCATTCTGTTGTACATAGGGTATCTATGAGTTTTTACCAACTAGATGGCACCTAACAACAACCTCTTAACTAGAGTTAATTTTCTAAAATTCTTGTAACCCTCTAACTTTTCTGTCAGCTTCTTAAAGAACTCTTTTTATTGTTAAGTGCTGTCAAGTTAGTTCTGACTCATAGCAACACTGTATGGGATTCCAAGGAGCATCTGGTGGATCTGAACCACCAATCTTGCAGTTCAAACTGACCTTTCGGTTGAGTGCTTATTCTACATCACCACACCAGAACTCCTGAAGAAAGGAAAATTTAGACACTCATAATTACTAGTAGCATGGAGTGCCCTCTGTTGTGCCATCACAATTTTAAGAACCATTCTGTAGTTATTATAACTATTCTAGAATACCTAAAAGCCTTCTACCTCCTTCATTGATAGAAAATATGCAGTGGTGCTATGGGCTAATAAACTGAACTGTAAAGTCTTTTTTAACCACAAAGTCATGGTTCAAGCTCACCAGCCACTCCTCAGAAACCTTATACAGCAGTCACTATGGGTTGGAATTGACTTGACGTCACTTAACAACAACTGTCTACTTTTAATTAATTAAAGGAGTCAAACACTTTCCTGTACTCATTTTCTTTAGGAAAGAACTTCCTTTAGGCCCAAATGAGTAGGAATGATGTCATGCTGAAATCAGGATAAGTACCTTTACAACTCCAGAGAAACAATCTCTTCTAAATCATGTTTTAGACACAGGGTTGAAGTTTATTATTCTCAATGTATTGAGTATCTTTAAAGAAATTAGACCAACATTTCATAGGAAAATACTAGAGCAAGGAGTCAGTTTATTTTTATAGCTAGCTAAAGAGCACTTGAAACACCACGATAAATTTTTTATAGTATATGCCTATGGAGGTCATGAATTCAACAAGCAAATATTACCAAAAGAGATTTTTTTTCTCTTTAACATTTCTGTTTGGATAAAGAAGCTACTAAAAATCGGTGTTATATCTATCAACGGAAGGTTATGAAGATCTTTTATCCAGAATTCTCATCCTAGCCCGACACAGCCATTTTAGACATCCAGTTTCAAATTCTAAATAGAAAGAAATTATTAAAAATAATTAGTTATATGAAAAAGCTATAAACATGTTGCATTTCAGTTACTCATATATATCTGCTAAGTAGGATAACCTTTAGAGATTCTACGGTACTACATTATCTCAGATTTTCCTGATTCCCCAATCAGGAAATTCTCCTTGACAAATTACATAATTATAAAATAATTAACAGATGAATAGTGAAAGATAGAAAATCATTTTGTTTTCTACATATAACCATTTTGTTTTCTACATATAACCATTGTTTTGACTCTCCAGTGATGGAATGGTATTATATCCTTCTTTGTCAGGCTCTAACAGGGGCAGTGTATTGGTATTCCTCATAAGAATTCTTTGTTGGGGAAAGATTCATATTAACCTAGGACCCAGCACATTTTAGGAACTCAACAAAACGAATGAGTGGATGAATGAATGGGAGAAAAAAAGCCCAAAACGCTGAACATGTAAAAACACAATGCTCCTTTAGCCTCTCTTTGACAAAATCACAAAATTTTTATCACATTTTCTACCATGAATATAGTAATACAAATGTGAAATCATTTCATATAACCATTAATTGATAGAGTGAGTTGAAATGTTTGGAGAAGCAATCATGAAGAAAACAGTTCCAGTATGAATTTCATCTTTTCTGTGAGCTCTAGTATGACTATGTCCTCAAAATATTTTAAGAGGATCCATGGTTGTGCATAAGGAGCTCTGGTAGTGTAGTGGTTACGAATCAGGCTGTGAACTGCAAGGTCAGCAGTTCAAAACTACCAGCTGCTCTGCGGGAGAAAGATGAGACTTTCTGCTCCCATAAAGATTTACAGCCTCAGACACCCTGTTCAGGTTGCTATGGGTTGGAACTGACTTGACGGCACTTAACAACAACAACAATGGTTGTGCATACTCTAGCCACACGGGATTGAAAAGTAAGTTTTGTTTTCATTATAATTTCTAAAATGTATGAATTCTGACACTGTTCCTTCATCAGGTTGAAATCTGTAGGGCTAAAACTTGTTCTGCAGAATTATCTATTAGGGATTTTAAGAGATCAGTAAAACTAACTTCAGTTATCATATTATTCTGATGAGGAAAGATGACATCTTCACACAATCAATGAATGGATAAGGAATACAAATGGGATACTGCCATTTGGGAGTGGAGGGAGGAAAGTACTGACTATCATGGGAACTAAAATAGTACTATCTCTTTTCAGGAACCTACCATTTTGGTACTTGGGTTAGGATCTGCAATTCCTCTTGGTTCTTTACTTTCAGGTTTCTATAATAATAATAATAATAATAATAATAATAATAATAAATAATGTCATATCACACACACACACACATACCCAGCACTTCCCCTGCTCTGTGGAAAATCTAAGATAGTTTAAAAATTGTTATGGGATAGAATGAGGGGATAGTTCTACTTAAGTTACATTTCATCAGTGTCCATTTTTCTCTATAAACTTTTTTCCCAATTTTTCCACAGTATATTTCATGAGTGTATCAAACATTTTTAAGCATCAGGGCTTTTATTCAAATAATATACAAATTATGTTGTTGTTAAGTGCCATTGGATTGATTCTGATCCATAGAGTTTCCAAGGAGCGGTTGGTGGGTTTGAACTGCCAACGCTGCAGTCCAGTGTATTATCGTGCATGCTACACCAAGACTCCAGTATCTTTATTGGGAATCCTAGTGATGTGGAATGGAAGACATATGGTCATTTAGCGCTACCCCATACTGCACAGTGCATTCTGAGGTCCTTTATGTGATTGGAGGATTTTGTGGAACCTCAGACTGAATCTATTATGATCACACCCTTTAAGTCATGAATGAAGAAAACTTAATGCGAATTGCTGCTTTTAAATGGCCCTAGTTAGGAGTCTTGGCGTGATGCTGTGAGTTAATGCACTGGACTACAAGGTTGGTTTGAATTGCAAGGTCACTGATTCAAGCTCACCAGCTGCTCCTTGGAAATCCTGAGTTGGAACTGACTCAATAGCACTTAACAACAACAAATTAAGATTGTAAGGAACCCTAGTAGTGTAATCAGTTATAAATTGGGTTGCTGACTGCAAGGTCAACAGTTTGAGCCCACCAGCCACTGATGAGGCTTTCTGATCCTATGAAGAAAGATTTACACCCTCAGAAACACTATACAGAGTCACTATGAGTCACAACCAACTAGATGGCACACAACCACCACCATCTCCCAGTTAAGAATCTTGATGCTTGCAGGATCAGAACAGTTTGTCAGAATAGAACCCTGTTCTGAATAAGAAGTGTTCTACTCTTTGACCTTGGCTAATCCCTAGAGATCTTTTGATACCATTTTTAAGAACTTGGTCCCTAATGTATTGTGTATATATTAATTTATTTCTTTCAAAGCCTTATTGGAAGCTGTCATTGTGTTTTTACCCTTTAGAAGCAAGGCCAGGACTAGAATCAGGGCATGAGGCACTCACTTCAGGAACAAATTTTAGGCAAAGAGGTCACTGAAAAACTCAGTAATCAAAATAAATAATGTCAATTCTTTTAAAATCAAATTTAATGCATAATAGATTACATATACAATGGATAATATCATTATTTTAAACAAAACAAGCTCTGTCTGACCTTCATTTTCCTCACTGAAATCCCAGTCTGACTGAGAATTAGTCTCTATGCCAGAAGCCAAAATATGTACTTCCAATCAGAGAGCTGTGTTACATTATTGCCTTCTTTATGTAACCAAAAAAAAGAGAGAGAGAGAGAGACCGAATGGTATTAGAGTTATAGTTGAAATGGACACAGAATACTGCACAGCTAACAGAAAGGGCCCAAGGAACATACCAGTGTGATGTATTGGGGACTTGAAAAGTCAGAAGGAAAGTTTTCAAAGGACTCTTCAGTTCTTTGCTAGTGAAAAGAGATACTACTTGTTAATCTGCAGTTAGTATCCAAGAAGTATAAATAGTTCCCAAATCCATAAAGTAAAATTTCCAGCTGTCCCTGGAATATATTCTTAGAAAAGATCCAAATACTAAAACACATGGAAACAGTGTTCTTCCCTAGATTCTCTTCTGACCATAACTCAAAGGTATCAATTCTTCTATGGTCTTCCTTATTCACTGTCCAGCTTTCACATACATATAAGGTTATTGAAAATACCATGGCTTGGTTCAGTCTCGCCTTAGTCCTAAAGCTGACATCTTTGATCTTCAACACTTTAAAAAGGTCTTGTGCAGAAGATTTGCCTAATGTTAATACATCGTTTGATTTCTTGACTGCTACTTCCATGAGTGTTGATAGTTGATCAAAGAAGAATGTTGTTGTTGGTAGGTAACATCAAGTCAGTTTCCAGTAATAGCTACCCCATGCAGAACAGAATGAAACACTGACTGGTCCTGTGCCACAATGACAATTGTTGATATGTGTGAGCCTATTGTTACTGCCACTGTGTCAATCCATCGCTTGGTGGGGCCGTGTCTTCCTTCTTATCTCTGATCCTCCACTTTTCTAAGTATGTGATCCTTTTCCATGGAATGGTCCCTCCTAATATGATGTCCAAAGTACTAGAGACAAAGTGTCATCGTCATTGGTTTTAAAGAGCATCTGACTTCTTCCAAGACAGATTTGTTTGTTCTTCTGAGAACCCATGGTACTTTCAATATTCTTTATCAGTGTGATAATATAAATGTATTTCTTCTTTTCCTGTCTTCATTATTCATTGCCCAACTTTCACATGCCCATGAGGTCATTTTGTTTGGCATACTATGCTGGTTTGCGTGCTGTTGTGGTGCTGGAAGCTATGCCAACAGTATTTTAAATACTAGCCCTGGTGTGGTACTGTAGGATAAACACAGGACTACTAACCAGAATGCTGGGAGTTCAAACCTACGAGCTGCTCCTTAGAAACCCTACACAGGGTTGGCATGAGTCCAAACTGACTTGGTAGCATTAAGCAACATCAACAATGGGTCATCCATAGAGGACGGGCCTCAGTGGTGCTTCTAGACAAAGATAGACTAGGAAGAAGGAGAGGCAGACCATTTCTGAATGGTTGTTGTTGTTGTAAAGTGCCCCTGAGTCAGTTCTGACTCATAGAGACTTGTATAGGGTTTCCAAGGAGAAGCTGGTGAGCTTGAACCATCGACCTCGCAGTTCAAACAGCTTTGTTATTTGTTGCTGTTGTTAGGTACCATCAAGTTGGTACCAACCCATAGCTACCTTATGCACAGCAAAAGGAAACACTGCCCGATCCTGGGCCAACCTCACTACTGTTGCCACGCTTGAGTCCATAGATGCTGCCACTTGGCTAATCCATCTCATTGGGGGTCTTCCTCTTTTTCTCTGACCCTTCACCTTACCAAACATGATATCCTTCTCAAGTGACTGCTCCCTCCTGACAATATGTCCGAAATATGAGAGACGAAGTTTGGCCATCTTGTCCTCCAAGGAACTCTCTGACAGCACTTCTTCCAAAACAGATCTATTGGTTCTTTTGGCAGCCATGGCATTTTCAATATTCTCCTCCAACACCATAACTCAAAACCATCAATTCTTCTACAGTTTTCCTTACTCACTATCAAGCTTTCTCATGCATATGAGGTTATTGAAAATACTATGGCTTGGGTCAGGCACACCTTATCCTCAAGCTGACATCTTTGGTCTTCAACACTTTAAAAAGGTCTTGTGAGGCACATTTTCCTAATGCAATACATCGTTTGATTTCTTGACTGCTGCTTCTATGAGTGTTGATAGTTTATCCAAGAAGAATGAAGTCCTTGACAACTTCGATCTTTTCCCCGTTGATAAGAATGCTGTTTATTGGTCCAGTGGTAAGGATTTTTTGTTTTCTTTACATTGCAGTGTAATCCATACAGAAGGCTGTTGTGCTCTTTGATCTTCATCAGTAAATGTTTTAAGTCCTCTTCACTTTCAGTAAGCAAGGTTGTATCATCTGCATATAGCAGGTTGTTAATGAGTCTTCTTTCCAACCTGATGCCACATTTTTCTTCATAAAAACCAGCTTCTCATATTATTTGCTCAGCATACAGGTTGAATAAGTATGGTGAAAGAATACAACCTTGTTGTACACCTTTTTAAATGTCAAACCATTCAGTGTTCCCATGTTCTGTTTGAACAACTGCTTCTTGGTCCAGGTACAGATTCCTCATGAGCACAATTAAATGTTCCAGAATACTTATACTTTGCAATGTTGTCCATAGCTTGTCATGATCCACACAATCAAAACCTTTGCATAGTCAATAAAGCACAGGTAAACATCTTTATTATATTCTCTGCTTTCAGCCAAGATCCATCAGACATGACAATGATATCACTCTTTCCACGGCCTCTTCTGAATCCAGCTTAAATCTATGGAAGTTCTCTGACAATGCATGATTGTAGGCATTTCTGTATGACCTTTAGCAAAACTTTACTCACATGAGATATCAAAGATGTTGACTGATGATTTCCACATTCTGTTGGGTCACCTCTCTTTGGAATGGGCACAAATATGGATCTCTTCCAATCAGTTGGCCAGATAGTTGTCTTCCAAATTTCTTGGCAGAGATGAGTGAGGGCATCCTGTGCCACCTCACTTTCTTGAAAGATTTCAATTTTTATTCCATCAATTCCTGGTGCCTTGTTTTTTGCCAATTCCTTCAATGCACCTTGGACCTCCTCCTTAAGTATCATTGGCTCTTAGTCATATGCTACCTCTGGAAACGGCTGAACGTTAACCATTTCCTTTTGGTACGGTGACTCTGTGTATTCCTTTCATCTTCTTTTGATGCTTTCTGCATCATTCAGTAATTTGTCCAGAGAATCTTTCAATAACATAAGTTGAGGCTTGATTTTTTTTTCATTTCCCCCAGCTTGAGAAATGCAGAGTGTGTTCTTCCTTTTTGGTTTTCTGATTCCAGATCATTGCACATTTTGTTGTAATATTTGGCTTTATCTTCTCAAGCTGATCTTTGAAATTTTCTGTTCACTCTTGGACCTCCTCATTTCTTCCATTTGCTTTAGCATCTCTACACTGGAGAGCAAGTTTCAGTGTCTCTTCTGACATCCATTTTGACCTTTTCCTTCTTTCTTGTCTTCTCAATGACTTTTTGCTTTCTTCATGTATGATGAAGAACTCTTCTGGTCTTTTGTCTTTAGTGTTTAATATATCAAATCTGTTCTTCAGGTAATCTCTCGATTCAGGTGGAATGTATTCAAAGTCATATTTTGGTTCTTGTGGACTTGTTTTCATTTTCTTCAGCTTCAATTTGAATTTGCATATGAATAATTGATGGTCTGTACCACAGTCTGCCCCGATCTTGTTTTCACTGATGATACGGAGCTTTTCCATTGTCTCTTTCCACAGATGTAGCCAATTTGATTTCTATGTATTCCATCTGGTGAGGTCCATGTGTATAGTCGTCTGTTATGCTTTCTAAAGAAGGTATTTGAAATGAACAAACCACTGGTTTTGCAGAATTCTATCATATTTTCTCCAGCATCATTTCTATCACCAAGGCCACATTTTCCAACTACTGATCCTTTCTCTGTGCTCCCAACCTTTGCATTCCAATCACCAATAATGATCAATATATCTTGCTTGCATGGTTGATCTACTTCAGATTGAAGAAGTTGGAAGAATTCTTCTATTTCATCCTCACTGGCTTGAGTGGTTGGTGCCCACATTTGAATAATAGTGGTATTAACTGGCCTTTGTCATTGGTGGTGGTGGTTATGGACTGCTGACCTTGAAGTTCAAATGACTTTTGCAGTCCAGAGCATTAAACCACAGCATCGCACCAGGACTCCACTTAGATACATTGTTGTTATATATCATGCAGTCAGTTCTGACTCATAGTGACCCTTCACAGGGTTTCCGGGGCTGTAAATCTTTATGGGAGCAGAAAGCCTCACCTTTCTCCTGTGGGACAGCTGGTAGTTTTGAACTGCGGACCTTGTAGTTCGCAGCCCAATTCATAACCACTACATTACAGAGCTCCTTTGCTATTAGGTGCCATCAAATTAGCTGTGATTCATATTGTGAGGATTGTACCATTCTCACAATTCTTATGCTTGAGCCCATTGTTGCTGCCACTGTGCCAATCCATCTCATTTGGGAGTGGGGGGGCTGTGGTCTTCCTCTTTGGTGCTGACCCTCCAGTTGACCACACATATTGTCCTTCTCCAGGGACTGGTTACTCCAAACAATATGTCCAAAGTATGAGAGATGAAGTCTCATCATCCTGACTTCTAAGGAGCATTCTAGCTGTATTTCTTCTAAGGCAGATTTTTTTTTGTTCTTCTGGCAGTCACAGCACTTATAATATTCTTCTCCAACACCATAAGTCAAATGCATCAAATTTTTTTTTTGTGGTGGTTTTCACTCATTGTTCAACTTTTGCATATGAGGTAATTGAACATACCATAGCTTGGGTCAGGTGCACCTTAGTCCTCAAACAGACATCTTTGCTCTTGAACACTTTGAAGAGATCTTTATAGCAGATTTACCTAGTGAAATATGTTATTTGATTTCTTGACTGCTGCTTCTATGAGTGTTGATTCCAAGCAAAATGAAATCTTTGACAACTTCAATCTTTTCTCCATTTAAATGGATATTGGTTCTTGACCCAGAGGTGCAAATTTTTGTTTTCTTTACACTGAGGTGAAATTCCTACTGAAAGTTTTAGTTTTTAATCTTCATCAGTAAGTATGTTAAATTCTCTTTAATTTCAGCAAGCAAGGTTGTATCATCTGCATATTGCAGGTTGTTGATGTCATCCTCCCATCCTAATGCCATGTTTCTACTCATATAATTCAGCTTCTCAGATTATTTACTTAGTATACGTATTGAATAAGTATGGTGAAAGACAACAGCCCGGGTGCACACCTTTCCTGATTTTAAACCATTCAGTGTTCCCTTGTTCTGTTCAAATGAGTGGCATTGCCACCAGCATCACAGCAACACACAAGCCACCACAGTACAACAAACTAACAGACAAGTGGAGTGGTAGCAACCAACTGATTACCAATCTGATAAGTATTTTTTCTTATCTTCCATTTATATAGGATTTCATTTTATTTTCTATTTTCTTTAATTGAAAACGATGACTAATGATTTCATTTCCAACGTAAGTATTTTAGCACTATAAATTTTTCCTCTAGATACAGCTTTAACTACATCAAACAAATTTTGTTATGTTGTATTTCATTTCCATTCTGTTCAACATACTTAAATTTCCCTTTTGCCTTTTATTTAACTTACGATTCTTTTGAATTTGTTCTTTTAATTGGGGCTTTTCTAAGATTTCCTTGTTCTTTGTTCCTAATATATTGCATTATAGTGAGAAGATATTTTATGAATTCTTTTACGTTGATTTCCTTATTTTATGGCCCAAAGTATCATCTACATTAATACATTTTTTCCAACGTAGTACACATTACTATTGTTTTTAACCAATAAATTAGTGTTTTGCTTCTTGCTTTATGACTCAATACCGCCCTCCTCCCTTCCCCACATTTAGATGGAATCCATGCTAAATTTTCTCATCATCTTCTACTTCACTCGGCCTAGTGCTGGTTCTATTTTACATACATAAAAACTGCTTTTTGTTGATTAACACAAATGAATGTTTCTTACGTGTAAGGGATAAATATCTGAAAAGACTGGTTCATTCCTTGGCTGTGGCTCATCACCGAAATATCCTTTATTCTCTACTCCTAAGGAGTCTACAGGTGTGCTGTTAAGAAGGAAATAAAATGTTGACACCAGTTATAGGACAAGCCAGGGGGTGAATATTAAATAACCAAGAAGTATTTAAAAACACTGATACCTGAGTTACAATTTATAATAATTATTTCACATTATCTGAGGATGGGACTTGAACCTGTTTTTAACAGGTCTTTGAATTATTCTTAAGTATAGACAAAATGGGAAACCAATAGGCTAAGCATTTGGATGAATCAAATATGTAAACGTGATACACCAATGTCCTTCCATGTTCTTAATTAAGAGGCTTGCGTTTCCCCCACATTAAGTATCCTTCATAGCCACAGGTATATAGATTCTCAGTAATGCTTCACTTCAATACGTAGAAAATACAGACTTACCTCTGAATTTGCTTCAACTTAATACATTTTTGGTGACGAATTAATAAAGTGACAGCCACAGCACCAACAGCCACTAGCACAAGTACGGCAACAAGGATAGCAATATCTACAACACTCAAAAAGATACGCTTTTGTTAGGGTGTCAACTTGAGGACAGCAAAATGTGAACATGAGGCATTTAAACTTAGGTATTATAATCCCATTCCAGTACTTTCCTCCAAGACTTCAATTTTCCATCAAATTAAAGCCAAAACATTATGTAAATTATTATCTGATTCAGCAGTTGACAACTCCACACACACTTTTAATATGTTTAAGGGAGTCATAATCAATGGGGGAAAAGTCTGGTCATCAGTTATTCACTGAATGCAGAAATGACTTGCATTGTGGGTTCTCAGAATTGTGCCAAATTTAGACAGAAAAGGATATACTGATTGTAAAAGTCACCAGTTGTTGTGAAAACCAGTTGTTGTTGTTAAGTGCCATCGAGTTGGTTCCAACTCAAAGCAACCCTGAATAAGATTTGCAGTTCAAACAGACATTGCATTCCAGTGTTTTTCTTACAGTACCACACCAGGACTCCAAAGACAACAGTAGTAAATTCTAATTCAGACATCTGATAATGCTAAGTAAACAACCGGTTATACAGATATACACAACAACTAAGGCTTGGAAAATATGACATTTCTGCCAAGGCTTTTCATACACACACACACACACACACAAAACATACACACACATATTATTATCCTAGGATGCTCACTGGTAACATTTAAGGTTTCTTCCCAGTCTAGAGATCCCTGTTCTTCACACAGGCATTCAACTTCATGACCATCCACCTGGAAGAGAAATCAATCAGATAATTTTATCAGATGACTGACTTTGATCTGCATTTTTTATCTCACTTAGTTTAGTGGTAGTTATACATCAGATACACCTACACACACATACTCACATACATGCAAATTTTTTATTAATAAATTAACCAAAATGAATGCAAAAATCAATGTAGCAAAAAAATATGCAAACAAAATGCAAGAAGCAACTGTTTTTGAAGAAATTCTTTAAGAAATGGAATGATTTTGATAAATTCAAATTCAAAGATAGATTAAAGAACCCACCATGACGTATCCAGACAACA